TAAATACCATTAATAGATTCAATTTAATAACTATACTTTGTGACCATCAATAGGCAAACTTAATACAATTATTATAAGACCATCAAAAGTTTTTATATCGGCCATTAATATATATCTTATAAGGGTTAATATATTATTTTAGGATCATCTTAATATCACTTAAATATCTTCTTATGACATCTTAATATGATCCTAAATTGGTACATATATGGCAAATAAATAATCTTATAATGGTAAATATATTATTTTATGATCATCTTAATTCCATCCTAATATCCTCTTATGCTATCTTAATATGATCCTAAATATATTTATTTGCCATAATAATATGCTATAGCTATCATATTAAGATGGCCTATTTACGGCAATAGTTTAATTTTATTATAAATGGAGCTGCACCATGGTATAAATAAACGAAAATAAATCTTAAAAGCATTATTTCTACTAAAAGTAAAGTCTTAAAAATAAAATAAAGCCCCAGCGCGAAAAAATGCATTAAAAGGTTGGATTTTCATTTTAGTCTTCGAGTACTTGAACATAATTTATTTTATTAAAAAAAATCATTAACACCATTATTTTCATCAACCTAAACTAAACCTAAATGTTTATAAAAAAATCAGAAAAACATATCGCAATTAGCATAAATTAATGCTTTCCTTATTTTTTTAGGAAATAAAATAGAGAAAAATACCGAAATTATTTTTACTAGACGACCTTATTAGTGCATTTTCTGTGTTGGGACTTTATTTTCATTTTCAAGACTTTACCCAGGTAGCACACTGACGTTTATATGACGTTGAAATGGCTTTGCTAACGTCATTTTAGCGTCAGAAGAAGTCATATAAACGTCAGCATACGTCAGTGTGCTACCTGCACTCTTAGAAAAGACCTGGTATTTGCAATGAAAATTTAGTTCCCAGAACCAATTTTATTAGTGAAAATAGGCACAACAAAAAAATATGTTGTGGGAACTAATACAAATTTGTTTTTACAGTTTGTTGTCGGAACAGCCAATATTGGTAGCTCCAACCAACAAGTTTAAGTGCATCGAAATTAGTTTTTTTTTCATACAAATAATTGATATTTAATGCAATCACATTAGTCTGTCATTTTAGCAGCGTCTAAGTTGTAACAACTGCACTTGCTATTTATCGCAACAAACATTGTATCATGCAGGAATTTATTTTTTAATTGAAATTACATGAAAAAAGGTACATTTAAAGAATTTAATAGTTGATATAATATAAATTTGTTTTGTACTGTAACTAAGTTATATTTAATATTAAATGCTTGCATTAGTAGCAACAACAAATTGGTAATATTCCACAGTACATACCTACCTGCTTAGTAAATATAACACTTTTTGTGTAAATATTATAAAAAATAGAGAAAGGAAATTCATGCCCGTTCGTTTTATAAATATTTATTATAAATTAATAATTACTCTAAGAAAACATTTATAAATATTTTAACAATAAAACAAAAACGATTCTTTGGTAAATATACATAGATAGGTACATTAAGATGAAATTTGACTATACTTCTTCAGTAAACCGTGATGTTTACGTGAAGTGCAAGCCTTTGTTTAACAACTTAACAATGGTTAATCTTAGGTACAACGTAACATACTTGCATGATAACAGGGGTAAGCATTCGATAAATTTTGAGTGTGAGTGCCTATAGTATAGGCCCTATACCAAAAATGCGACTTGAGCTGTAACAAAACAAAACAAAAAATTCTCGAAATTCCGACGTGATGGAGACTTTTGGTGGGCACCATTGTATTCAGGAGAACATTTTCAGTCGGAATGGCATTCACATTTTTGGATTTTTTTTCGGACCCCAAAACTACAATAGTGTAATTAAAGGAGTGCAATAATAAAACCTAACCTTTAAAAACTGGAACCAATTCAGGTAAACCCCATGTTCCTAATAAATCTGCTACTTCAGTCCGCTCATCCATAATATTTGTTCGAGATATCCTTAAGTAACCAACACATAAGAGTATAATCTTATATATATAAATAGTTAAAAAGTATGTCGCCACTGAATTTACAGGGGCAAATGACTAATTGTAATAAACTAGTTTCTTACCTAAAATATACACTACACACGAGCTGATACACAAATACAAAAGAACACCACCGAAGTCTGGACGCCGTGCAACACCGTTTGTTTACAGGTTAAAAGTAAAGCACGCGCCGGGCTTGACAAATCGCGCGCGAAATGCACAAAGTTTGCAGTTGCATTAACCTACAGAGACAACATCCCCAACTGACACTTTGTTTCACACCGCTGGTGTCTTAGCTGTGTGAAAAGTGACGCATAGTTTATACAACCGAACCGTTAGTTCCACGGACTAATTTCAGTCAGTTGAGAATGTTACTTAAATATTTGGTCCAACAAAAACATTTTACCGCCGAAATGATTTTTTTGAGATAATGTTGTCAATACTTCTAGCCAACACAAAGTTTCAGTTAAAATAACTTAATCGCCTTCTTGCAGTAAATAATACTCAACAACAAAACTAAATCTTTTCAGGTAATGATGCAAGCAGTTACACATATAAAGGTACTGATTACAAAAAACAAAAAATTTTATTTTCTGCAACAGTTTTACCCCAACGATAATAAGTTAGTTACAAATACCAGGTCTTTTCTAAGAGTGTGGGTAAACTTTTAGTATAAATATTAATTAATAATACTTTTAAGGATTATTTCCATTTAGTTAACTCCATAATTTTCTGAACATTTTTAGCCAGTCTACCCTAAAAGAAAGATAACAATTGAGCTTTAAAAAAATTAAACTATTTCAGCAGATAGGCCATCTTAAAATTATAACTTTATACATGTATAATTAAATAATAAATTAAGGAATCAAAGCCAATATTCTGACCTATTAAAAATCTTGGTAATTTTTCTCAAGCTGTTTTATTTATAAATATGGTACCTAATAATAATAAATTGTTAACATTTTACCAAAAATATATTTCAGATTTTACCAATATCCTATAAAATAAACTTCAAAGCATACATTTATAAAAGTATCATCAACATAATAAATACAGGTTGAATTTTTTAAATGCTTAATGCAGGCCCCCCGGAAACTATATAGAAAGAAATTGAACCTACCTTCAAATCCTTTAACAAAATCACTGAGCCCCCATTCAAGCAGAGTAACTTTGAAAGCCATTACCATGTTCTGTAAAATTACCGCAAAACAATTGTGAAGAAACGCCCTTTTTCTTCTATAAACGATTCAATATTATCCTCAATTTCCCGTAAACAAGTGAGAAATAATAAATGACGCTACCACAGAGTTCTGTGTTCTGTGCTGTGGACGCTAGTTAAACGATTGGTCGATTCGAGTATAGTCGGAAAGCCGAATCTGTTAGTTAGGTAGATGACTTTGTTAAGGCCATTATACAACTTCTTAAGGTCTTTAGATAATTTAAGGTGGTTCACAATCTTATGTTATGTGTTCACAATTGACTATAGTAATGGTTATTAAGACAAGTTTTAATAAGGTCGTCTATTAACCATATTTAGTTATTTATCACTGGCATTAAAATAATTTAAAGAACAGCGACATATTAATCTGAGTTTATGGTGGTATTTAGATATTTTATGATTGTTAAAATATAAATATAGATGATCTATATTTTTTGTTTTGACACTTTATTAAAACGTATCTATTATTCACCTTAATTCGTCTTCATGTCACAGATAGATAATTTGTACTGGTTATTAGATATATTTTGAACACTATGTAGATAATTTCATTAAGATAATTTAAGATTGGAATTTTCTCAGTGCATGATGCAGGAATCTCACACTTTCTGCCCTTGTAGTGTAATATACTATATACACATTAATAAAGTTAAAAATCCTGTTTTTAACAAAATAAAATTGTTTTTAGCCAAAATATATCAGTAAGCATTTATCAATTATTGTTGTTCACAGAATTTCACAAGCGCCAGAAGAGAAAATGCCAATTTTTATTTGATAACATAATAATGTATATTGGTAAAGCTACAAATTTTTCTAAATTTAATTCAAATCAATCAAAAATTGTTTTTTGGCAAAAAACGATTTTATTTCGTTATAACATGATTTCTAAAAAATGAATGTGTAATTTATTTTTTTAGTCCAATTTCAAAAGATGAATAACAACATACCCCTTCACATTTAAAAAAAATAAGAGAATGCCGCCCCCATTAATTAGTTAGTGATGAAATTAATGTGTAAATATGTCCCTCTAAAAACAAAAGTATACGGGTTCAAAGATTGTTTTGTTTATTTTCACATTTGTTATGTAAAATTAGTCAAATTTTCGCGGTCAAGAAGTTATGTCACACCTTAATTATAATTAATAAACTGTTATTGTAATTAATACTACTCACCAGATGGCGCAGAAAGTTCAAAATAAACAAAATTATTTTAGTAGGAGTTATTACATAAAATAAATAGTTTTATCTAACAAAATTTAATCTAGTGGAAATAACCACTGTTTTTATAGTAACAGAGATTTTAAAATAATTATTTTTAACATTTATTTTTTTCTGTATTTACTTAAAGATTTCTTTTTATTTACAACTGATTTATTTTTGAATGGAAAATAACTTTTGTTAATCCCTTTTGAATGTTATCTCAAAATTTCTCGATTTATTTAAAAGAAAATAACGTCTTTAAAAAATTTTACGTCATTTTAATATTGTAACTCATCAAGAGAACAATCAAGGAAAAATATTTTTTCCCAAAATCCGTCAAAAAAAATTGCTAATACATTTAAAAAATGGTCGAAATACATACGGACAGTTTAAGACGAAGAAGCAACGTAAATTTTAAAAATATAAACGTTAAAATCAAATTCAAAGAGGTATGTCAATTTTTTAACTTTATTTTTAACCTATATTTAGCAGTATACAGAGTGTTCAGAGATTAAGAAACGTTTTGTTAGTTGCCTACATACAGTTTTTTCTCTACATTTTATTTTTTTAGGACACAACTGATAATTCTTCAACATGGAAAAACGCCTACAAAAAAATGAAAACTCTAGCGCCATTTCTATGGCCCAAAAGAGATTGCTCTCTACAACTTAGGGTTATGTTTTGTTTTTTGCTATTGGCTTTTGGCCGTGTGGTAAACTTGTACGTTCCCATCTATAACAAAATGATCGGTAAGTAATTTTTTTAAAATTTTGTCACTATATTGCTTGTAACTCTCTACTAGAGAGTTTTTAGTGAGTTATTTTAGCGAGTTTTTGTTTTGAAATTGCCTACAAAAAGCATTTTTTGGATTGTCTGTAAGGTAAAGAGTGTTAAAGTTACATATATTTTTAGTTGACAGTATGACTCTGGACGAGAAAGATCCCAGCAAAAAATTAGAGTTTAGATGGGACTGGGTGGCAATTTATGTTGCGTTTAAGTTTTTACAAGGGGGCGGTACTGGGGGAATGGGTTTTTTGAATAATTTACGTAATTTTTTGTGGATTAGGATACAGCAATACACCACTAGGGAAGTCGAGGTAATTAAGGATCATTTTTTTTAAATTGTACATGTTTTAATGTTATAATTTTTAATGTAGGTGGAATTATTTAAACATTTACATGCCTTATCGTTAAGATGGCATTTACAGAGAAAAACTGGGGAGGTTTTGAGAGTTATGGACAGAGGAACTGATAGTATAAATAAATTATTAAACTATATATTGTTTTCAATAGCTCCTACCATTATTGATATAATCATAGCCGTTATTTTCTTCATTACATCTTTCAACTTATGGTTTGGATTAATAGTATTTGTTACGATGCTTCTATATATTAGTAAGTATAGTGTTTTTAATATAAAACTCATTTTTAAAATAAAACTTTGATTATCTACATTTACATCTATAAAAAATATTAATATTTTGTAAAATAGTCGATATCTTCTTACAAAAGTGCATTTTTGAACTAAAGAATCGCGTTCAAACGATAAAACACTTTACTTCTAAATAAAATGACCGCGAAGGCCTTAGAGATAAAAATGATAAAACAATTTTTTTATTAAAATTCATTTTTGCAATAAATACAGTGTTTGAAAGGTCTGCTTGTTTCATTGTGACATTTTGGAAATAGGGTGAATATCGGGTTATTACATCGTAGTTTCAAATACTTCACTTCGTAAGCAGGTATGTTTCCTAAGTACTTTTTTTTAAATATCGTAAGGAATTGCGTCCTGAAAGTTACCGTACTTGTATATTTAGAAAGAACACCCTGTATACATTGGCGTAACTACAGGGGGGCCTAGGGGGGCCCGGCCCCCCAAGACATCGCTGGGCCCCCCTAGGAAAAGGCTGACTTTTATCTTTTACAATTTTTTGTTATTACCAAATTTGCAATAGAAATATGTATCATTTACAAATCTTGTATTTGTATTTTATCAACTTTCAAAATACTAATATATTACCTATAGGTACCTATTTTAAAACCTCCCCTGCAAGCTCGCAACTAGCAATCAGGCTGGATGCTCCCGTGGACGAGTTTTGGTTAGTGCCGCGCATGACGTCACTTGATGAATAGTTGCCGTGCGAATACACGAATAATAGTAATATTTTCAAAGAAAATAGAAAAATATCTGGACATAGTGCGTTTTTATTAAACTTAATATTAAAGAAAGTGTTATAATATGGATAATAGATTCTTGCAGTCCTTGATAACATTTAGGACTGTAGTTTAAGAGTTGGTGTCCAGAAAATGTTTAGATGAAACAGAAGCGGTCTTAACGTTAATAATGTCTATTCTTTTTATGGCATTTAAACACTGTTTGCACAAATCAAAGTTTTTCGGGAATCGATGAAATTTAATGTTTTTATTTAATGGGTTTTTCTTGGACTGGTTGTCCAAATTGCATCCAAACATGCCACAGCGCATTTTAATAAATGCAAATGGCACGACACAAACTAAAACACAAACAAAACAAGTTAACGCAACACAAAAACAATAATAAACAAACAGAACAGGTTAACACAACGCAATAAGTACACTGAAAAGTAAATCTAACCTCACTGAACGCAAAAACAACAAGTTAAACAAAAAAATAGAGCAAGTTTACATCCAACAGCATCGCAAAAACAAGAATTTTAGCAGCAGATAATTAAAGATTTAAAAAAACTCAACAAGTGACATTTAAGCCCCGCCCAACATGCGCACATACACTTAAGGTGTATGTATCTTGCTAGCAATTGTATCTTTTCATTCAACAAGAAACGGTCATGCGCGGTACAAACGGTCATCAATTATATTTGGACACGTCCTCAAGATCACATTGTAGTATTTACTCCCTTTCTCACTGGGACTGTGAATTTACTATTCAGCGCAACTTTAAGTAAGCATGAAACCGTAAGGGTTCAACATGTTTAGATAAATAACTACAAAAAGTAATTATATTTTGTAAAATAGGCGATATCTTTTCGATATGTTTTTTTGAACTATAAAACTGATTTATGAATAGAGTTGCGTTAAAACGCTTTTTAACTAATTAAAAAAGGGATGGTAAAAAATTTAAGTAAATACTTTTAAAAAAATAATATTTTTCCCAAAAATGATTCCTGAATGTACTTCACACTTTTGTAAATATTGTAAATATTTAAATTCATTCCCACAAGCACAGCTTAAAAATTACATTTTCGACACAAATGAATATAATACATGTAAGCATATTAAGGTGTAAAAAAACAAAACTTGTACTATTTTTTTTTCAAGCGTAACAATTTTATAATTATTCTTCTTCTTCCTTGGTGGCCAAAGGCCTTAATGGTCTCGGTTTCAATGTTTCACTTTGACCAGAAGCAAGTTTTAACGTCCATGCGTTTCACGAAGCCATCCACCCATACACACGTGAATTTTCCAATCTTGGAACATCCACTAAATCTTTTGTACAAATCACAAAATACCTCGCAAAAAGGTCAAAGCCTGCGATATTGTTCAAAAATACAGGTATATTTCTATACCCGGAATCCAATTTTGTCCATCCTGGGTCAAAGTCAGCTATGTTTCACACTTTTTCATCGAGCGATAGCCCAGAGCTGAGAATGCGATGCACTAGACATGAGGGACAAAATCGAACTCTGAATTTTATAATTATACACTCATAAGTTTATATAGAACAGGGTTGCTACTCATCTGGAAAACCTTGAATTGTCAGGGAATTTAAATTTTTTAGAAATGTCAGGGAAATGCCAGGGAATTGGCAAAAAAATCTACAAAGTATTTTAAGATTGAACAGAAAATTTATGTAATAAAAACTCTAGAAACAAAAACCTAAATTAAAAATTATCCCGAAAAAATTGCCTACAGAAAATTTTGTGTTTGTTTTTTTTTAATAAGAAGTATTGATTTTTTCTTAATGTTTTTGAATTTTATATACTTTAATAAAAGTTTAGTTTTTTAATTAATCGTTATAATTCAAGTATTACATAAGCACCAAAGGGGGGAGTCTTTGCTTGATTGCTTTGATTTTATACGATACGTTATACGCCCTTAATGTTTTTTGAAAATTATTAATTCAGCCCACTATGGGACACACTGTATATAGGTACGCTTATCATATAAAATATATTATACGCTTAAAAAAATACTTTAAAGGCTTGAAAAAAATAGTACACAATCTACTGCCTCGGCAGTGAAATATATTCGGAGAATTCTCCGTATATAATGTACTATATTATACTGTCTTATACGAGCCCTAACCACATAATGTTCGGACACTTCATAATTTATACAGAAATTTTTTTCGTGAATACTATCTCAAAATTATTAGAAGTTATGAAAAATTCAGCTTATTTTGGCATATACCCCTCGAAGCGATTTTTATTTTTAAAAAGTTTACCTTTTATTTTTAGCTTTTAAAAAAAGGCTAACTTTTTAACTTTTTTTTGCATGAGTAAAAAAAGTTATAAATGGGCCCATTAAAAAGAACATAAAATATTATACAAACCCTAAAAATTTGGTAAAAATTGTATAAATAATAAGAAAGTTATAGCGATATATATATCTGCAAAATCTCCCGTTTCCTAAGAAAATTGCAAAAACTCTTTAAAAATAGCATTTTTAAATTACTTATACTTTTTTATAACTTATTTATTTTTTACCAAATTTTCAGGGTTTGTATAATATTTTATGCTCTTTTTAATGGGCCCATTTATAACTTTTTTTACTCATGCAAAAAAAAGTTAAAAAGTTAGCCTTTTTTTAAAAGCTAAAAATAAAAGGTAAACTTTTTAAAAATAAAAATCGCTTCGAGGGGTATATGCCAAAATAAGCTGAATTTTTCATAACTTCTAATAATTTTGAGATAGTATTCACGAAAAAAATTTCTGTATAAATTATGAAGTGTCCGAACATTATGTGGTTAGGGCTCGTATATAGGTCTTGCGACTCCGAGTTTTGACGTGGTACCCTAAAGGTGCCAAGCCTCTAGGGGCGCTGCAAGACAGGTAATCGTTTTTTTAACGACTACCTACCCGGGAACAGTTCTAATGTCAATTTTGGAAAATGTAAATTTATTTTTTAATCCCATCTAGCAATTGGTAAACAAATCAGATAAAATGCAACCTTTTACAAAGTCCTTCTTTGTAAAGATGATCTTGTTTCCTTTTTTGAGGGAAAATTTGTCGATTTGCCGTTATCATGATACCTTATAGTAAATTTAAAAGTAAACTACGTACACGTCATCAATAAAACAAAAATTTTACGCATTGGTACCAACACTAAATGACTAAATCGAAGTCTGTAATTGAATATTTGAATGCATTTTAACCAAATTAAGTTGGCAACAATTGTGATGTTGTCATGTTTACATTCAAATTTTTCATATTTAAATGACACATAAAAAAGAATTTGACGTTTTAGAATTTCGAAGCTGTCAGTTGTGTTTTTGAATATTTCGTTTAATTCGTGTATTATTTCGTTTATTTTGTTTGTTGTTTGTGTTATTTTAAATCGTTTAAGTTTTCATTGCCGTTTTTGTGTTTGTTATATATCGTTTTTTGTGTTTCCTATATTTAAAATGCCGAAGCATTTAAATAGTCGGAGTCAAGAGTTGGTGTCATCCTTAATACGCTATTTTGAGGCAGAACGGGATAATAATGGGCCTTTGTTACTTTTAACAGCTGTTAGAGAGGTAAATAGGATTATTATTAATTATATATTAGAATATTTAACAAAATATATATTGGATACATAAAATAATAATATATATACCAGAGACTGACTTTAGATGGCAAAATTTTTGGGTTTTATATCAGAAAATGTCTTTAAAAATGGCTAAAAACATACTTTTGGCGGTGCATCATATAGGTTATAAAAACTCAGACTTTTGACATTTTGGTATTATTCATGTAAACGCCATCTATCGCCCTGTAGTTGCACTACCACTTTCCCTTGATGCAAGGATTTTAGCATCACATTGACAACCGTGCCCGATCAGCTGATTGATGACGTGTACGTAGTTTACTTTTAAATTTACTATATGTGCATAGTCAGTTCATAAGTGGGGGATGTAAAATATATGATACCATATACATATTAATACGTCCACGTATGATACGAATGGGGTAGTTAAATTTTTTCTGACCTATACTTTTTATGGTTTTATTCAAGGCGTTTTGTAATATTAAACATTTCTGTGAAATCAGAATTTCAATTGAGTTTACCGTTTTCGAGATATTTACAAAAAATATAAATTTTAATGACGTCACAAACCTCGCCATGTGACCAACATTCTAAGATTTCTATTGGTTGAAAATTACCCTGTTGTCAAGTTGTCTTGTTAATGATTTTATTCGGTTATGTCAGAAAATACCAGAAGAGGTTATGTACAAATACTGTCACTGTCAGTTGACTGAAAGAAGAAAAAGAAGAGGAGGTTAAAGAAAATTCTGAAATTAAAAGTTTTATTAATAGGTTTACACATTGAAACACCGTGTGAAACCTAATAAAATGTAATAAATAGGTACCTAATAACTGTCTAAAGCAGAGTTTAATATATTTTATAGAAAAAAGTGGCAAAATAAAGCTGAAAATGAATGAAATAAATTTACAAAAAATAACAGTAAATGTAAGTTAACAATGGTATTTATGATATTTGTGTATAGTTTTTATAAAACTTGCATCCCTGATGATGAGCATCAAAACCTTTTGTAAGATTAAAAAAATGTATGACAAACTTTTGGTTTAAATATTGCTGCAATAACGTACAGTTGTATTCATTAAAAAGGCGTACAAGAATTAGAATGAGAGAAAACTGTCAACATTATTGCGTAAAACCGGCTTTCCACTGACTTAAGTCACTATAACTGACAGTAGAAAATAAAAATACCTAGTCAGTTAAAAAGGCTCAAATAGTATCAAGAATCGAAAAAGAATGGTCAATTCGTACTGTGGTATAATATAAATAAAAAATCTATATTAAAAATTAAGCAACGCTGGGAACAGGAAGATTTACTAAACCAAAAAGTTGGTTCAGGTCGTCCCAAAATGTCCACCCCTGAACAGGATGCTGCTTTTTTGGGATATCTGAGGATTTATGGGAAACTATACAACTATACTATACCTACCTACTATACCGCTAGGAAGATATTAATCCAAATATTGTATTAAATTTAATTCAGTTCATCCCAAATAGATTGGCTCAAGTAATAGAAAAACAGGGATGCATGACTAAATATTAAATTTCTTTAAATGTTTGTTTTTTTTCATTTCTAAAAGGTAATAATTTTTGTAATATTATTTAATTAACCTACGACGTCAATGCTCTTTATAACCTATAGTAATTATTTTAATGACTTATGTCAGTGATAAGCCGGTTTTAAGCAATATTATTTTGACAGTTTTCTCTCATTCTAATTCTTGTACGCTTTTTTATTGAATACAACTGTACATGGTAGGTAAAGATAGTGCATGGTCTACAAATAGACATTTTGATTAAAATTATTCAAACAGATGGTCACCAAATTCATTAAGTACCTATCTTCCTTATTACGAGGTATCATATTACTGTTTGATATTTTAGAGTCCAAGATATATCTAAAAGAATATAAAGAACTAGGCATTATACTAATGAAATGCATTTACGACAAAATATGATTATAATTATAGGTACTTACTTTATTTGTTTAAAAGCTCCAATGTTCAATGTAACCAACCATTCCACAAGATTCCTCTGCTTTGGAGTCCGTTATCAATTATATCAATTACAAATAACATAACAATAACATTGATTTTCAATAATCTAAATTTAAAAAAAAACATAACCCGAAAAAAAGAAACGTCAAAAATTCAATTCTTCTTCTTAATTAAAATTATAGATCAAGTGGTTTTAAAACTAAAATATTATAACGTGGCGCCATCTATCGTAAGAATCTTAAACTAAACACACTGGCAACCATAGAAAAAGCTGGCAACGTTGTCAATAGCCTAGTGACGTAATTAGGGGATTTTTTTGTAAATATCTCGAAAACGGTAAACTCAATTAAAATTCCGATTTCACAAAAATGTTTAAAATTACAAAACGCCTTGAATAAAATCATAAAAAGTATAGGTCAGAAAAAATTTAACTACCCCATTGTCAACTAAACAAAATTTAGATTATATCAAATTTTTTAAAATCATATCTTACATCGCTTAAGCTTATATAAATTTCTGTGTCGCCATGAATGCGCCTCAACGCAATCACCCGTGTGTGGTTTAGGCGTGTGATTCTCACTTCCCCTACTTTAACCCCACGAAAAGGAAACAGTCTCAGTTATAATTGAATTATATATGTGTGGAAGTATAATAAGAAGAGAGTCTGGATCAGCGTTGCCTACCCTACGGATTTTTCCGTAGATCTATGGATTTTAAGGGTCATTAACGGATAACCGGATTTTGTCTGAAAATCTACGGATATTTGGACATTATCGCATAATTCATAATTACTTGATATTTTATTAAAACCTGCGACAAGTAAAAAATTGCTTGAAACCCTTTTTATATTTTCTAACTATTTCGCTCCGTCCAGTAAACGGCAGGTATAAAACCACAGACCACCAAAACAAATGGACGGCGCATTGCCATTCAATAACAATGATTTGTTTGCAGTCAACAAACGGTCACAGTCTAAGCGTCAAATTGGAGATAGAATTTTATGTTTTCTTCCAGTGACGTCAACAAACCGTCACATTCTAAGCGTTAAATTCTTAGGTTAGAATTATAAGGTTAAATTGGATAGAATTTTATGTTTTCTTCCAGTGACGTCAACAAACCGTCACATTCTAAGCGTTAAATTCTTAGGTTAGAATTCTAAGGTTATATTGGATAGAATTTTATGTTTTCTTCCAGTGACATATTGGGATTAAAAAAAATAATAAGTAGGTAGGTACTTACAAACGATATTTCCATGTATTGTTATTTTTAGTAAAAAATAATGTATTTAAACTCCATAATTAACTTAAACACGATAGAAATACACAAACGAAAACACAAAACAACAAGCTGTCAAACTTTTTCTATGCTGTCAAATATGACGAATTTACCAACGTTGTTAATATTTAATTTTAATAATTATTAAATTATTTACTTTCTTTAAATAAAGAAAAATAGAGAGACAATGATGAACAAATCCTTTTTATAATTTTTTTATTATTCAAACGAGTTACTGGTAATTATTAATGTTCATTATGTTATGATGAACGTCCAAAAAGGCGTGTAATATATACTTCTGACAACGTTGGAAGCCGTGTTTCTTTCGACGGTGTTTAGAATGTGAAACTATGCTTTACTCGCTTTTTAAACGTAAACAAATCTGTCCATTTGTTTTGGTGGTCTGTGTATAAAACTCAGGATTTTTCGAACAAAAAGGTTGGCTGGTCTGGATACGGGACCCAAAAATGGCCGACATTTGTTGTCTATTAGTAGCTTAGAAGCTATTTACTAAGATCAGTAGATGGCCGTATCAACTGTCAGTTTAAACATGACATTACATGTGTTTCTAGTAATAAATTGTTAAGAATTTTTTAATAGGTAACTAAATAGTAGTCCATATAACGTTGAACGTTGGTCTCGCTGATATTAAAGTGGTTTACCCCTCGCCTTGCGCCATGTTTAGGTCCAATTTTAATGCACCAATAGGATTTGTGCTACAGTTGACCAGACTCTTTTTATAAGGACTCTATGCTCTCTTGTCTCGCAGCGCCACCTGGTGTTTGCCTCAATAGTCGAGTCACTTTTTTTTAAGTTGCAAGATCGTGGTTGTAATCGTTACGATGTCAAACCCGACTAAATAATTCGTTTTTTGGACCATCCGGATGCATCCCCTTGTTTTCCAATCAAAGACAAAACAATAACTAAACTTTACTCTGTAAAATCTGGTGACCCAGAGGAATTTGCTTAGGCCCGGAGAGATGGTAACCCTAATAATATCAATGAAAGGCGTGACGTCGTAGTTGCTTGACCGCAAAGATTTTCAAATTTGAATAAATTTAAAATATATTTTTAATTCTTTCAAATTTAAAATTATTACGGACCGAATTTGACAATAATAATAATTAACAAACTGTTATTGTAATAATTATTATGATATTTTTAACTTAAAGCTTGTTTTTAATAAAAATATTTTGACAGTTGCAACAATAACTGTGACGGAATGGCGTACAAAATTCCAAAGAAGAATGAATTTGGCAGATAACGAAACAAGAGCTCGAAGTGTGGATTCCTTACTTAATTTTGAAACTGTTAAATATTACAGTAACGAGAAATTTGAGGTTAAAGCCTTCAAGGACGCTATTTTGCATTATCAGGTTAGCCAACTATTTTATTAACAATATTTTATTTATTATACGTTTTTTTTATTTTAGAAAGAAGAATACAAGTCTATTTTAACCCAAAACATCCTAAACTCGGTTCAAAATCTCATCATATGTTCAGGACTTTTGGTGGGCAGTGTATTTTGCGTTTATTTGGTTGTTGAAAAAGGCGAACTAAAAGCTGGTGACTACGTTCTTTTTGCCACATACATAGTACAACTTTACGTACCATTAAACTGGTTTGGAACATATTATAGGTAGTAATAACATACTTTTGTCAATAGTGAGTTATATGACTCCTAACTCACTACCCTAGTAGAAATGTTATGTTGAAATGTCCCTGTTTATAACGTTATATGACAACGTTATTTTCTAATGTTATAAAATAGGTGCAACTTAAGTATTTGCCACTTAAAATCATACATTCAAGCAACGTAATGCGTAATGTTGTCTATACAAATTTCAAACGTTGTCTGAATGTATACATATAACCTATAGGTTAACGTTATTTTCTACCCGGGTAAGGAGTTACTTTAGAAAGTTAAAGTAAAAAAGAAAGTTGTAGACGGAAAAATTTATCGGGCCGGATCTAGGTATTTTGCTAGAAACAAATAATAACACGAAATAGTAAATAAAAACAAAAACTTTATTAAAGTGTCCGACCAAAGTTTTGGTTTTAGCCAGTTTTGGCTAGAAATGCTGGTTTCGGACCGAAACCAAGTATATTCGAGGAAAAAATATGCACCGAAAAACATCGATAAATTTTGTAATTTTTTCCTAATTTTAAAATCTAATTAAAACTAAATAATACCTACTTGGTAAATACGTTTTTTTAAATAAATTTAAAAAACTACAAAATACATTACCCATACATTTAAAAAAAGGAATACCTATAAACGCAAAAGTAAAACCATCGATGTAACAAAACGTCGATATTTTATGTTGATGTACCGATGTTTTCAATGTTTATATACAAAAAGTTTATATACAAAAGTGCTCTTTTAGTTCCACCCTTACTTCCTAAGAAGTTCCAGAAGCCAACTGAATGGCTTGAGCGGGTTAGGGGTAGGAACGGACCGCGGGCTTAAAGCCCCCTCCGAAGGACTATTACACAATAGGACAAACACAAATAAACAGCCATACCCCTGGTGGGATTCGAACCCACGACCTCTCGGCTTGTAGCAGCACTAACCACTAGTCCACCGTCGGCGGTATTGAAAAACATCGTACATGCCCATATACCTATAACTATAACTTATATGGCATATGGCATGCCCAACGTCTGCTCGCCGGCCGACGTTTATGAACGATTATACTCGTTATTTTAGTTGTGTTAACCCGTAACCGGTACGGTACGACTTTCAGGACATAAACGGTACTAAAGGGTCTGAGAGACACCTACCTTTTAAAATTATTATTTAAATTATTTTTTTTATCTGAGGTCTTGGGGATACTAGGGACTATATATAAAGTTAGAATATCACCAAAAATAATACCTAAATAAAAGAAAAATTTAAACAAATAGGTTTTAATCAAAACATGTACAAAAAGTGCAGTAGTGCAAACTTTGTGATTAAACTATAAAAAATATTAAACCAAACAAAATAAAACGATCTTTATTTCGAAGAATATACCTTAAAAAATAACATAAACAAAAAAAATTCTAATATATCTTTTTTTAACAGCAAAAATAACTGCTTCAAACTATAGCTGATTTTTACAATTATTTTTTCCATAGTAACTTTTTTTAATTCTTCACTATCTGACCCTATAAAATTATTTTCTATAAAATCTTCACAGACAAGTCCTGAATCGCTGCTGTGATTATCTTCAACGACATAATCACTATAATGGTTATGTAGTATACTACAATCATCTATATCACTTATATCGCTGTCGATTTCATAAAACCACTACAGTACAGTTTCCTTGAAGCCCTTCTTATCACTTTAAACACGTTTACAAGGCCCTTGTTGCGAATCCATAACGAATTAATTGTTTTATAAATATAACGGAAACGGTACGCAGTGGTCTAATAGACACCTCAACACTTTGACTCCTAATAATTTGTCCGTTTGACAATCCAACCTGTTCAAAGTCTAAGAGCATATTGATAACTGCCGAACTTAAAAGTATTGGAAGCGACAGATTTTTAAAACAAAAGGTGAGGGTGTGACAGCGCTTTGTTCGTTGATGAGTGTCTCCCAGACACCACAGTACCGGTTACGGGTTAATGTTATTATCGTTATTAATGTTACAATCGTATTAGATACGTTAATTATCATTGTGTAATCGTTATTTCAGGTGTAAACTACATTTTAAGGTGGGTACCTATACTGAAATTTTAACTAAATTAAATTTTAACTTTACTACATAAGTTTCGATTTCGGTTACGGTTTCGGCCGAAACTAGAAGAGGAGCCGAATATTCGGTTGCGGTTTCGTCTAAAAGTTGTATGGTATGAATTTGGCACCCCTGACACGTGCCGCACCCTGCGAGGTGGAATTTCTCTAATTTTATCCAAAAAAAGCAAAAATATGTAGTGAGTTGGGTTTTTCTCGAATACCTTACTAGTTGTTTTAAAGAAAATTAAAAAAAAAAGTAAATTATAGAGAACTAAATTCAAACGTTTTTTTATATCGTCCCTCCTTACAAAGATATAGGGTGATAAAGTAACATTTTTTAGGCAAATTCAAAAGAACTTTGTGGACATGGAAAACATGTTTGATTTGTTGAAAGAACCCCAAGAAATCATCGATGCGCCCGGCGCCACTGACATTTCCGTTAAAAGAGGGGCTGTGGAATTCAACAACGTCACTTTCGGTTACATACCCGAACGCCTGGTGCTAAAAAACGTCACTTTTTCCGTACCTCAAGGAAAAACTGTTGCTTTGGTGGGTTAGGATATTTTGTTATGTTTTTGGGTGATTTTATGGTGTTTTTTTGTAGGTTGGTCCATCTGGTAGTGGTAAAAGTACTATTATTAGATTGCTGTTCAGATTTTATGATGTTGAGACTGGTTCTATAGTTATTGACGGACAAAATATCAAAACAGTTACACAGGAATCTTTAAGGGGATCTATAGGGGTGGTACCACAAGATACAGTACTTTTTAACAATACCATAATGTAAGTTTAGAACTATTTTTACAAGAGTAATAATGATCATCATTTTTATGTTTTTTAAGGTATAACATCAAATATGGCCGTTTAACAGCCGAAGAAGCGGAAGTAATTGAAGCTGCGCGCGCAGCTGATATACACGATCGCATCAGCCGGTTCCCAGAAGCGTACGAAACAAAAGTAAGTCGTTTTAACCTACAATTATACGGGTCAACAAATTAAAAATTAATTGTTTCAACATTTAAGTTAATTCCTATTTGAAATTGCCGGCTGAATCCGAAATTTCCGTGAGGCTATTTTCCATAATGAAAAAGTATTTATTTTTATTTACAATCATATTTTCAATAAATCAAATAAATCTATAAATTAGACAGGATGGTTGACTTCCTATACTCGGCTACGTACAAAAACGTGATTCTAAACGGGGGAAGGTGATTTAGGCACCCTCGATGTTTTTCTGACCAATCACAATTCGTTTAGTTTGATCTTTGTGGTAAAAGGAACACGGCTACGGAAAAAAAATATTTCGTCACCTACCACCGGGAATTAATACGGCACGCTTTTTCAACGGAACTGACTATCCTTGATTTAGCTAGAAATTAAAATAATGAGTGCAGTTAAACGAAAATATCAGTGTTATAAACGACAAATTGTTTTACATCTGTAAATAGTACCTTTTTGTACCCGCATCAATTTACAGAAAGTCCATTTGCAGAACCATTTTAACTATGTGGCCCACAGTATTGTTAGAGTATAGCATAAATTATATTGAGAATTTTTCAGCATCAGTGGTGGGGAAGCGATTTTAGGAAAAGTAGAGAAAGATGAAAGGTGTGGTTATATGGATTAGACGCGTTAAGGCTTTCCTTAATAAATAAAGTGATAGCGATAAGTAATTATTTTTATACTGTTTTTTTATATATGCGTACATTTAAAGGATTTATTTCTATTCCCACTGAATATCCGTTATCAGGGTTGAGATAAACCTATGAATAGGAAAAATAAATTGTAGGTTTAAGGTTTTTTATGGTTTTTTTAGGTTTTTAGGTTTTTTAAGATGGAATTTTGGATGAATAAAAATTGCTTATTTGTACCGTTAATTAATAGTACTGAACACATATATATATAAATACATAATATTTATTTAAATAATATTCTAGTAAACATGTTTTACAAAACAAAGATAATATAATCTATTATCTTTGTTTTAAAACATGTTAACTTCAAAAAAGCGATTTTTGTCATTTGAAGATAAAAAAAATAAAATGAGGTTATTTGAATGAATAGGTTTGTTCAAAAAACCTAGGTTCAAAAAAACCTGTACCTGCCAACCCTGTCTGTTATACATATTTTGCGCCGTTTATCCACTTATATTATTATGTAGTTAAAACGGTCCTGCAAGCAGGGGCGTACTGGTAACCCTTGAGGGGCGCGGGCGTTTTATGTTTTTCATCGTTTTATTTGTTTTACAATTAAAATGGCCATACAAAAAAATTTATCAGTACAGGCCTGTCTGCAAGAGTTACACAAAGCATTCGGAGATAAAGCTTCTTCAAGATTTTTGGGAAAGTCAATCTAAATGCATTTTCCCAGCAAACAGAAAATGACGAGCGACGTCATATGGACGTCAATTTTTGGACATTTCGCTACCAAATATTTAAGTACCAAAATAAAACGTAAAAATGACGTACATTTCTGACATATCTGACCATTTATTTCATACCAGAATCAGACGAATATGCGACGTCATCAAAACGTTTCAAAATTTGCCAATATGTAGGCAACCCATGCATAGCCATATAAAGGAGGAATGCCTTGAGCTGCTAAGTAAGGATTTCTTACTAAGAAAAATTACTGGCCATGGAAACGCTTGGCTTACATGCACAAAGGCGCGTCTGCCTGGAATTATTGGGTCCTCCTGTGGTCCACTCTAGTGTGCCCCACTACTTTTTTTTAGCCGAAGCTATTTATAAAATTTAACATTTAATGTTAAACAGCACTATTTTTGAGAAATTATTTAACAACCAAAACACCTCAATTTTGTAATAGACGTAAATTGACGTCAGTAGCATGACGTCATTATGATGTGACATTGACACGTCCTACGTACGACTTACATTAACACGTCAATTCGTCATGAAACGACGAATATTTCACGTCTGGATGACATATATCTGTTTGCTGGGTTGTAGGCCTTTTGTCGCGGAGTACAAAAATGTACTCTCACAGATCTTACAGAATTTGTATGATCATTTTTACACAGATATTTTCGTTTTACTCCTATTACTATTTTAATTAAAAGTACCTAGGTAACAAAAATCAAAAAGTTAAAATGTAATAAGTTGGGTTTTTATTAACCCACTAGTGAGTTATTTTAGAGAGTTTGAGAATTTTATCTGGAAAAAAAGACACAGGGTGTTCGAAATGAAGTACCAAAAATCGAAAGGTTAAAATGTATTGAGTTTACTTTTTCTTGAGTAACTCTTTTGTGAGTTATTTTAGAGAATTGGTGTCAGAAAAAAATTGTAGAGGGAAGAATTTGCTACCAAAAAAATTATCACTTTTTCTTTGGACACGCGCAGTTTTAAAATACGGGGTTTTTAAGGTAGAGCTCTTTTTAAAGCACTATTTCGTTGTTTTAGGTTGGGGAAAGAGGTTTAAGATTGAGTGGGGGTGAGAAACAACGTGTTGCCATTGCGAGGACTTTACTAAAGGCCCCGCAAATTGTTTTACTTGATGAAGCCACCAGTGCTTTGGATACACAAACTGAAAGAAACATACAGGTAATAAAAATGATTACAAGGAAACAATTTATAATTTTTTAATATTAATTTAGGAATCCCTTAATAAAATGTGTGTAAATCGTACAACTATTATAGTAGCGCATAGATTATCAACTATTATTCATGCTGATGAAATTTTGGTCTTACGAGATGGAGAAATAGTAGAAAGAGGACGGTAAGTGCAAACAAAATAATTAAGATCTAAAAAAATAACAATTTTTAATTTTAAGACATGAACATTTGATTGGACAAGAAGGGGTCTATGCAAATATGTGGAAACAACAATTAGAAGCCAAAGAAGAGAAACCATCTATAGAAAATAGTTTGGAAAAATCAGATAGTTAAGAAAATCGACTGGATAATACAAAAAAATATGAATGATTTTTTAAAAAAATGCACGCTTTTATCATTTGGTAAAGGTGCGAAATAGTGGGTATATTATGGTACATAAAATATCATGAAAATAAGTTATAAGTTATTTTATATAATAAAAAATACTTTATTTATAATGTATTTTTTATTTCAATACAATATCAATACCTTCCTAGTAATTTTAGAGATTTGATATAAAAAATAGAGTTGTATACAACTCTTTTTTACATCAAATCTCTAAAATTATTATCAATAGATAAAAATTGTCTACAAAATGCATTTTTTGGATTTTCTCTATTTTTTTCTAGGAGCAAGTTACAGGGTGTTTAAATAACATAAATGAAAAAGTTAAATTGTTTAATTTGTCTTAAATATCTCACTAGTGAGTTATTTTATAAAGTTGTTGTAAAATAGGGTTGAGAAGAAATAAAACGTCTACAAAAAGCATTTTTCTGATTTTGTCTAGCATGACTGTGTACGAATATACAGGGGGTTTAAAATAATAATCTGTATAAAATAAGAAAATACTTTATTTATTTAAGACATAGGTACAACTTTTAAACTATTTACATATCACAAGATATCACGTTTGTTATTCGTTTTTCAGGTAGTTTTGCGTGTATAAAACGGCATCGTGTATTGTAGGAAATATTATGAATTTGCTATCTAATTCTAGGGTTTTGTCGCATTTTTGTATTACCTCAAAAACTGGACCAGATAAATTGACTAAATAAAGTGTAATATTTAATTTTTTGTAATCTGATTGTAATTGTCTTAGTAGTTCAACTCCAGAAGGGTCTATGTATGATAAACAAGAAAAGTCTAGCATAACCCATTTAGTAATTAAAGATATTTCTTGACCATCTATTATATCCCTTGATTTTTTCGTTAGGATTTCCTGAGGGTCAAAACCAACTTTTTTGTTGATCAAATTTTTAAATGATGTTCTTGATGCAAAATTTAACCCTCCACTGTAATGGAAAATTTTTATTCCATCAATTTCTTGAGCCTTAAACCAAAATGCAAACTTTTAAAGTAAACCCTTGTAAAAATTTTTCTCTGAAAAAGTTTTAATAAGTAAAAATAAGAGTTTTGAAAGTCTTACTTTCTTTTAAATACTAATAGCAAGATTTGGGAGTCTTCTGGGATAGTTAATAGGACTTAAGACTTTTAGCAGAGAAATGGTAGGTACCAATAGCGATAAGTAGGTAGTGGGTCACTTGAGCCTGGAAACCAAATGAGGACAGTGGGAAAATTCAAAGCTTGTTAAAATAACTACACTTCTGCGAAGTGTAGTTATTTTCGTTTTGTGTTTAATGGTACGTATTGCCGAATGAATGTCATGAAAGTTCCCGACAAAAATTACAAAATAGGTACCCGATCTTACCCGTAAAAAAACTAGCTCATTCGCCCTGTTTTAAAAAATGAATTAAATTAATTTAAAAATTTCATGTTAGTCAATAAAATTGTAAGAGGGTAGAATATAGTATATTATGTATCAAGTTTAATAAACGCCATTTTAGTTTTATTAGGCACGAGCGAAGCTTGCGAGCGAGTGATTTATAAAAACGAGTGTCTAGAGAAGTTTATAAAACGAGTTGCATAAAATAATTTATCTGCGACGAACACAAAGAAATAATTTGAAGCCAATTTTATTTGTTAAAAATTTGACTTCTGTCAACTTTAAACGGATTTAACCTCGCTTTTCCCTAATTTATAATAAAGCTAACTTAGTCCGTGACTAAAATGCCATAAAGTAACAGCTCGTCTATGTAGGAGTAGATAAAAATAATTATGCATATTTTGTAAATATACAAGTTTATTTACTGAAAATTTCTTTAGTTAGTATTTTGATCGAAATTTGCAAAGTACCCGCAAACATGACGAAAATACCCGATTTTCGAGTAAAATACCCTCAAATGGCAACGAAAGATGCGATCACATGACGGTCAGCTGAGAAAATAAATATTACGTTAAAAGTACACAATTGTTTGGATCAATGGTCATATGAATATTTGCGTATATAAAATGAAACTATTAAAATAAAACGAACAGTGGCAACAATGAAATCAAGCGCATCTCATGTGAAAAATTATAATTTTTATAACTATTACACCTTACATAATATGTTATTAACTTGGCTTATAAGAACACAGAAAAAATGTTAATAAATACTTTTCTTCGTATTTTAATATACAATAACCAAATGCAACCTCTCTGAATAGTTTCAGATATTTATTTTTATCGCTATACTTACCATTTGTCTGCTAAAAGTCTTATTAATTTTTATTAACTCTTCCAGAAGACTTCCAAATCTTGCTATTAGTCTGACTTACTAAGACTTATTTTAAGTTTTAAAGAGAAAGTAAGACTTTCAAAACTCTTATTTTTACTTATTAAAACTTTTTTAGAGACAAAAATTCACAAGGAAATAACTTTTTGACTATTAATAATAAAATAAATGAATAACAAACAATTTTGTATGGAGTTTAATGAACTACAAAATTGCTAGTTAACTTTTTGACCTATCATTAATGGTTTAGTTTCTAGATCCAAAAAACACATAATGAAAAAAACTTACAGCTTTATATCTTTTGATGTCCAGATACAAATCTGTATTTGGTATTAGTCCTAATAAACACGTGTAAGGTTTGTAACCCTGAACAAAAATACTTAGAAGGGATACCACTACACCAGCTGCTAAACCTATACTAATTTGAAAAATAAGGGTAATTCCAAAGGTTACTATCCACACAAAAGCGTCCCATTTACTTAACTTCCAATATTTTTTAATTAAAGTTATTTTAAAAAGTATACCTTTAAGAGAAACAATAATAATCGCCGTTAAAACACACTGAAACAAATTTGTTTTATAAGAATTTCATGTTTTAAATACGATTTTTCTTACCCTCGGTAAAACCTCGAAGAAGGGACCAATCCACAACAATATCACCAACAAAATACAACAAGAAACAACTGAGGCTAGCTGCGTAACTCCGCCCACTGCCTGTTGTATCATAGACCTCGATAAAGACGCCGTAATTGGTAAACAAGAAAAGAAAGAACCAAGCATATTACTTAAACCCTGAAAAATAAAAACGTTAGTTTAAACCCTAAAAACCCATAGGTACGATTTTTATACAAAAAAATGTGTTCACAAATTATTAAACCTATTTATTTGGCTTCAATGTGAGATAGACACATGTATGAATTTGTACAGGGTTTACCAACAGCGACTTTTTTTTTGTTTCAAAATAAAACAACAATTTGAATGAAAATGCTGTGAATCTTTATTGATATATATATATAAAGTGGAAGGTTTGCCATTTATAAATGACGCCTACATACATCGATTCTTTTGTTAAAATTTGTAATCACATTTTGGCATAACTGAGGCTCTATCTCACGAATGGCAGGTTCAATGTTGGCTTTTAACGCCTCAATGGTTAGCGGATTATCCGCATAGACTTGATCTTTCACATAGCCCCACAAGAAATAGTCCAGAGGTGTTAAATCACAGGATCTAGGCGGCCAATTTACTGCAGAGTTAAGAGAAATTACTCGATCTGGAAATTTGGTTTGCAATAAATCCATTGTTTGTCTGGCATGTGGCGCCGTCCTGTTGAAACCAAAAATAATTAGTCAACATATCCCGATAACGCAATCCATTGACAGTTACAGTGTTTCCGGCCTCATTTTCATAAAAATATGGTCCAATCACACCTCCCGCCCAAAATGCACACCAAACAGTGACACGGCGAGAATTTAAAGGCTGATGCCCAAATTCTACAATTTTGCTTATTAAGCCATCCAAATGAAAGTGAGCTTCGTCCGAAAATATTATTTTTTTAGAAAAACCAGAACATTGTTCAGTAATGAAATTAGCAAACTGATGACGAACGTAATGGTCGGCCGGCTTCAATTCTTGAACCAACTGTACCTTATAAGGTTTTTAGAGATAAATCCTTACGCAAAATTCGCCATGTGGTCATTGTCGATAAGCCCAATTGTTGAGAACGCCGCGGAATGGACAGATTTGGATCTTCTTCAACACTCGAGTGTGATCACAGCAGCGATATTTTCAGCTGAACGACCCGGACGAACACGAATTGGAGTTGGTATGTTGTTGGTTGAACCAGTAGATTTGAATTTATCCACCAAATTCCTAATAGCGTTCTCAGATGGCCAACCATGACGACCAAACATATCACGAATTTTACGATATGTGGTTTTCGTTTAGGTTTCGATGATTTTAATACGATTTTCGATTGAAATTGAAGGCATTTTTACAAATGGCAAAGCTTTTACTGACATATGTCAAAAAAGTAATTGTCAAAGCTGTCATCTTATCAAAATTTGCCCCTACTGAAAAAAGAAGTCGCCGATGGTAAACCCTGTATATGCCGTTAAAATCAGTTTAAAGTTACGAAATTATAAAGAATCATAGGCAACCTTGTCTACGTAGTAAGGCTTTAGTTAAAATATCTTGCAGTAGAAAAAACAATATTTTTATGGAATTGTAGAGAACTTTATAAGCTCTAAAAAGTATTTGCATTTTTTTTTGTAAATTAAATATTTTTGCGATATTCAACAAAAACAAAAAATATCTTATTACCAATGCAAGTAATTCTTGATTTGAATCGACTTCATACATTAATTTTCTGGAAAATGTTAACGCCATTGACATTGTTACTGTGTAAGAAACTATTGTAATAACGAACGAGTCCATAAATACATTTGGGATCATGTCAAACGCTGGTAAAGATGGGTTTGGGAGTCTAAAAAATAAAAAAATAAGTTTTTTTGGTACCTATTCAAAACATTTTACATATTTACCCTGTGGGAATATGTCCCACAATAGATATATTATAATTATCCTGAAAATTCAAGCATAAACTCGCAAGTGTCCCAAAAACAACTGCCACCAACTCTATAGGGAACGGAAAACGTGTTTTTTTTGATAACCATGGCTGTAAAAACATTATTTTTAGTATACTGTGTGTTTTTTATGTTTCATTGTTTACCTTGATCAACTCATTGTTTATTATTAAACAAGTCGAAGTGATAAAGGAGACAATACACGCATTTAGATTTGCCTGTGGTAAAGCTTTAGCGGCATCAAATATAGTCTAAAAAACAAAATACCTACATTAAAATCAATTCACTGTTTTAAAAAAATTCTTACCAATGGAAAACTGAAATTTCCTCGCCTTTTTGTAATGGGAATACCAAAAAAATCCTTCAGCTGCGAAGCTACAACATGAAACGCAGCTGCTGTAGTGAAACCGTCAACCAAAGTTTCGGAAAGAAGCGTGGAGACCACGCCTAATCGTAAAATATACATTGGAATCTAAAAAAAATTCAAGCCTCAATAAAACACCCTGTAACTTGGTATGTAGTGCTACAATACACATTTATCATATTTTTTTTCAGAATTAATTAAGCTTCTATAAAAAAAATTATAAATATAGTCAGTAGGTACTGAACGTTCAGTTTTTCTTAAAATAACTTACTATACCTACCCAGTAAGCACAAGCTAGCCGGCCCGAATACGTTTTGCCGAATCGGCCGCGTGCGGCCCGAAACACGTATTTCTTCCGGCGTGTAGAACGGGCATGTCCGCCTGGCCGAATGTCGGCTATGTTCACTCTGCCGAGTGTCGGCTGGGTATAGTTGGCCGAGTGCCGTCCAAACCGCCCGGCCATTTAAAAAAAGCCTACAGACTTCCTGGAGAGGTATATCCTATAAGTTCAGTCCTGAAATTCTCTGAATGGCAAGATACTTCTGTAACACACTCGACTAGCTAGACAATATTTGTTACTGAGTAGACAAGGATGGAGATGGGGACTCCAAACAATTAATGTTCAGCTATGCCATTACGGACGCACACTTCCAACTAAATATTGCAACCAATCGCTATTTATAGTTAGCTCGCGTGCGTAAGCAGCCGTGAGATGTATCGCTTTTGCCGAGGCAAGCCGTATTCCAGCCGTAAGCACGTCGGCTAGGGCAAGCCAAAGGATTTTGCAGCGGCATGCCATATTCTGGCCGACTTCGGTTAGAACATGGCTAAACGGTACCGGGGTAACATAACGGGGGCCGTAAGCGGTCCGGCTGGGGCAAGCCGAACCGCCGGTTAATCGCCTATGCCTAGCGAAGGCCGACTGTTTGCCGAGTGTTTGGTGCTTACTGGGTAGTGATTAATTTTATAGACACAAATAAATAAGAAAGTTGTAGGAAATTAAATTTTCTACATAATGCATTTTTAAAATTTTTTCTACCTTCACCTGGTACAATGTAACAGGCTGTTTTCTGACGTACCTGTATTAGGGCTACTGTAAATGTTACAATACAAGCAATTTGTACATTTGTATATTGAGGTGTGTTCGGATCACTTGTAAGATGGTTTAAAGTACCATTTTGCATTATTTCAATGGTGGTATACTGGTTCACAACTTTTCCTGTCATCAAACAAACTATAGCAAACGTTCCTAAAGAAAAAAAATAATGTTTTTTGTTATTTTTTTTTTATTAAAAAGCAAACCCATAGAAACATGACGTGATGTACCAAATAGAGTGTAAACCAGAACGGGAAAAAACGCCATATATATCCCCACTACAGGTGGGACACCTCCTAGAAGACCATAGGCCATACCCTTAAAAAATATATTGTTTGGTTATATCTTTATTAATCTCGATCGTAGGTAAAATTGTATAAAATAAAAAGAATTAAGTATCGGGTTTACGCAACGCGCCCGCCATCTGGAGGACTTCTATAGCATTGCGTGACTTTAAGAATAGTCAACAATACATTTAAAGCACAGATTATCATTTTTAAATAAATAGGTAGTTTTTCACAAAAGAGAGGACGGCAGAAGTCTTACTCGACAAATTTCATTCAATTGCACAGCTAAATCGCGCACGTTATTTGTGTTTTACGTTGCAAGGAAAAAATTAAAAAACTTTTTTAGTACTCGATTTCGATTGATTATTCCTTATATTATTGATTAAGAAACTTAATGCTTATATAGTTAATTTAGTGTGTGTATTTTATCACATGTGGTGAATTATTGTGTTTTTAATTGTAAATAAAATTCAAGAACCAAATCATTGCATTTTCATGTTTTGCCAAAGGATCCAATTCGGTAAGTACATTTGTTGGTGCAGAATTAACTAATGATAACTTTACCTAATATAATTTATATTTAAGTTTGGACAGTTTTAAGAAATTAGTAAAAAATAATTTTTGCACAAACATAACCTTAAAATCAACCATTTTTATATTTGATTTCTCTATAAAACGCTGACAACTGAATTTTATATATAATACATAATATAATGTTATTTTACCGTTGAAGACTTTCTTAATTAACGCTTTAATAATGCTAAATGCTGTTTAAATTTAGACGACTTATTTGTTTGATGATTTTAACTGAATTGAAATATTTACACTTTTCACGTTAATCACTACTAAAATGTGTATTTATTGTATCTAATAGGTACAATTTATATTTACAGAGACTGTATGCAATTTATTTCTTTATTCAGGTTAACACTGTTTATTGGAAAACCGGTAAAAACTCAACCCCAGGAAACCAAGGGGGGTAATGGGGGTAATTACCCCCCCCCAAGATAGAAGTCCTAAGAAAGAAATTACTTTAGTTTTGGTACCTTATAATCCTTTTCCCCAATATACAAAAGCAAATAACCAATAAGGAGTTTTGCAAAATTATTTTCCATATATGTTACCCCCCCCCCCCAATGAAAAAATTATCGACGCCCTTGCTCGAAACACACCCAACAACACAACAAATCGAGCCACGGTTTTTTTCCCGATATTTTTTAACATTTTCCGGCTTTATTCTCAAAAACACTCGTTTGTAACATAAGCGTTTAACAGCTGATTACTAAAAGTTATACTTTTGTTACGATGATAACACCCCAGTGGTGGCGCTACTAGCTATACTTCTTTAGCGTATTTCCTACAACATAAGCGGTTTCATATAGATGCGAAATGCGAAATACGAAAAATGTTTTCATTGGTCCATTCGATTTGGCGGGAAAAGCTTTTTGACGTTTCTACAGATCCTGCGAATTCGCAAGATTTGAAATCTGGGGGGCGGGAATCTTGAGATTGATCCAATATTTTGCGAAAATCGCACGAATTTGCCGTGATGCGCATGCGCATTAATTAATTCTGTCTTCGTTTCAACAATAAATAAGCGCAATTGCACGCCTTCGTCGCCAATGGTATAATTGCCACTGGTATAATTGTTTATCCCTAATAAAAACACAAAATCTTAATTTACATAAAACAACAAATAGAAAATGTTAACCAAGTATGGCAAATATCGCCTGGGGAGAAAATTAAAATACCATGGCAAATATCAACTAGTGAGAAAAAAGTTCGCATCTATATGAAATAGGAGTTGCGAATTTCGCATCTATATTAAACCGCTTATAGGTTATTTGCATTTTTTGTCAATAACTGTTTTGGAAATATTGCCCTGTTTCAAAAACGCGCAAGTTGGGTAACGCTTAATTTTTATTGGGGTTAGATTTACATGGACATTTTTTGTAAAGAAATAAAAATAAAAAATTACAATTTTTATTATGGCAATTTTTACCCACGACCAATAGAGGGCGTGATAATCACAAAAAAACGTTACAGGCTTAATAAAATAAAATTTACCTGTGGTATATGCATTATAGCGACTGTAATACCAGCTATAATATCTCCCAAAATGCTGGACTTAAAATTATACTCCGGTAGCCATTTTAATATAGGTAGGGTATTAAATATGCACTGTTTGTAATTAACTGAGTTGGCGGAGTTTTTGATTTTTGTTTTGACTAAAAAAAAAATATTGTTTTTATATTTTACTCTATTTCTGTACTCACGTGGTATGAATGGTTTTTCGTATAAAGTCTCTTTGTTAAATTCGTCTATTTGATATACAGGCCTTTCTATATGTAACGCCTCATAACCTAGCTGTGTTTTTCTAAAATAAAAATAATTTACGTTATAAAAACATTTTAAATTATAATAAAAACCCTCTAATAGTTTTGTAGCTTTTTTTTAACAGTAGAGGCTTCCTTTCGTCCATATTTACTATACAGTCTGTATCACTCTGTTACTTGTATTAAAATAAATAAATATTATAATAGTAAGTAATTCTTACTAAGTATACTATGATAATGGAACAAAAACATAAACAAACCATGGAATTTACTTAAGTAAGATAAGAAAAAATTCTTAACAAAAAAGGTCAATAATAGTAACCTTTTAAAGATAAATAATTTAAATATTAAAAGACATTATGACATTTTCAATATTAAAACAATTCCATAAATTACTTACACCATAAAATCTTTGCTCAAAAATAACTCTTTATGTGAAATATTTACAATTTTATGTCACGTTGAAAATATAACCTTTATTTTTGAAAATACATATGTATCATGTCAAAATTTGAAAACTAAAATTATTATTTTTGGATTTAGCAGGCTTTAAAACATAAATATACATTTTAAACCTAATACTTAAGTATGTTGGACACTATACTGCCGTGCTAAGCCAAACCCCCGTATCCGCAATATTAAGTATTAAAAAACCAAAGATGCTTTTTATTGTTTTTAACAATAAAAATGATCTTTTGTCCCTTATACGATAAAGAAGTAGTTATCGGGTTTTCGCACATACTTCCAGTGGAAGTCTTCCACACGTGTGGAAGTATGTGGGTTTTCGCAACGCGCGCGCCATCTGGTGGACTTCGAATACATTGCGTGAATTTAAGAATTGTCAACAATACATTTAAAGCACAGATTATACATCATTTTTAAATAAATAGGTACTTTTTTACAAAAGAGAGGAAGGCAGAAGTCTTACTCGACAAATTTTGTTCAATTGCACAGCTAAATCGCGCACGTTATTTGTGTTTTACGTTGTAAGGAAAAAATTAGAAAACTTTTTTAGTACCTACTAGATTTAGATTGATTATTCCTTATATGAGTACCTTAGATGCAAAACTCGGTTTTTGCAAATTAAAAAATAAAATAAAATTGACTTTAAATTCTGTTTAGTGTTCGTCCTAGATAAATGGCGTTCATAAAACTTGATACATAATAATATTATATTATATATATTATTATGTATCAAGTTTTATAAACGCCATTTATCTAGGACGAACACCAAACAGAATTTAAAGTCAATTTTATTTTATTTTTTAATTTGCAAAAACCGAGTTTTGCATCTAAGGTACTCATATCATTGATTAAGAAACTCAACGCTTAAATGCTTATAAAGTTACGTTAGTGTGTGTATTTTATCAAAGGGATCATGGCGAATTATTGTGTTTTTAATTGTAAATAAAATTCAAGAACTAAATCGTGCATTTTCATGTTTTGCCCAATTATCCAATTCGGTAAGTACATTTGTTGGTGCAGAATTAACTAATGATAACTTTACCTAATATACATATATAATATATATATATATATATATATATATTTATAATTATATTTATATTTATATTAAGTTAAGACATTTTTAAGAAATTATTATAATTAATTAATAATTTATAATTATTTATAATACATAATATAATGGTATTTTACCGTTGAGTGGAGACTTTCTTAATCAACGCTTTTAATAATGCTAAATGCTGTTTAAATTTAGACGACTTATTTGTTTGACGATTATTACTGAATTGAAATGTTTACACTTTTCACGTAAATCACCATTAAAATGTGTATTTATTGTATCTAATAGGTAAAATTAATATTTAAAGAGACTGTATGCAATTTATTTCTTCATTCAGATTAACACTGTTTATTGAAAAACCGGTAAAAACTCAACCCAGGATTTCCTCTAGATATTTTTTAACATTTTCCGGCTTTATTCTCAAAAACACTCATTTTTAACATAAGCGTTTGACAGCTGATTATCAAAAGTTATACTTTTGTTACGATGATAACAACCGAGTGGTGTCGCTACTAGCGATACTTATTTAGCGTATAACTCAATATTGTACATACGGGGGTTTGGCAGCCAAACTTTGGCTTACCAGGGAAGTATAATGGCGTCCAACAAATGTATAGTATATACTCGAGGCCTAAGGTCTAAAATTTGTCATATTTATATGCTAAATCCAAAAATAATAATAAGTTTAATAATAATAATTATCGTTTATCACAGATCCAACATACTCGCGGCCAGTGTTGCCAGGTATCTTTTTAATAAAGCGAAAGATGTCGTTACGAAAAAGCAGGAGATTCAAATAAAAAAACTTTTTTTTATACTTCACAGAAAACAACATAAAAATATGATGAAAACAAAATAAATATTCTATATTTAGAAGGGCTAGCAAATTATGGTCAAAATAATAATCTGATTTTCATTATTAAGTTAACCTATTTGTTTTTTTCCTACCGAGCATTTGGGCTGTCAACTGGGCGTCAGGGACATGCGCAACAGTTAAATCTCGACAAAATTTTCGTATTGCGCATGTCCCTGATGACCATTCGACAGTCCCAATGGTCGGTAGGAATAACTTAATTTAATATTTTAATTAATAATTTAATTTAATAATGAGGAATTTATGTCAAAATTAAAACACAAAAAAACTACAAAACTTTCAAATGGTAATAAAATTATGCATTAAGTTCGGTCTACAATTGTCGCAGAACCCGGCTTACGTATTACGTCACACCAACTGCTTGATACACAGAACAAGCACTGTGATTGGTTTGACGTAAGCCGGCTTCTGCGACAATAGTATACATCTGTAAATGAATCAACTAATAAGACCATGTCAAGATTTCTTTTTATATATAGGCAACCAAGATTTTGTTTCATTTAAATTGTATGGTACAATTTGTACCGTACAAATGAGCATTTTTCAATTATTCAATCTAGGAGTTCTTTAATACAATTGGATAGAGTTCGGTACCCTCCCTTTCATTGTCTGAGGCCGCGAGCAGTGTTAACAATTGTCAGGTCTCCCGTTTTCGCGCTAGATCTACAGTTTTTGGAAACAATCTCCCTTTCTACAGCTTTAAAAACAATAAAAAGATAATATCTTTTTTATAATTTAATTGTGTCTCTTAAAATTATTTTGCGGTACTCGCTAAATTTATATTCTGATAAATTGAAATAGTCAAACAAAAATTTTAATAACACTGAAGCAGAGCTGTCAGACAGCAGAAAGCTTAAGTCTTTTTTTTAACTTAAGTCATTTTTGTGACTTAAGTCATTTGATTTAAGTCTCTTTTTTTTTGGACGACTTGAGACTTAAGACTTAAGTCATTTTCAAAATGATTTGTATTATTAAGGTTTTTCTACATTTGCGTAAGGACTTAAGTCTTTTTAAAATGACTTAAAACAAAAAAATGACTTAAGTCTTTTTAAAATGACTTAAGTCTAAAAATGATTTAAATCTTTTTAAAATGACTTAAGTCTAAAAATGTTATGCACCTATTTTAAAAAAAATTTCATTAAACTGTCTTGTCAAAGAGTATCTATTAGATATATACTCTTTGATCTTGTTTTGAATCTCTCAAAATGAGTAAGGTATTTGTTTTTTTTTACTTACATCTTTTTTTTTCGACTTAAATCTTTTTTTTTTTCGACTTAAACCTATAAAACGACTTAACCCTTATGCAGGCGCACCTCTTTATGCAACGTAGTAGGTCGCGCGGGGTGTCAGAGACACCCCTGATGGCAAAGCGTCCCTGAGTGTTATTTACATTTTTTTTTGTTTTTTTTAAGGTTATCAAGTTAAGATGAGCTGAGAGACAATGAGAACATATTTCGTTGCGTTCAAATTTGATAAAAGATGACAAAAAAAATAAAATGTCAAAAGACGACAATTTTAATCAAATAAAGCATTTATTTAAAAAAAAAACAAATTTTCAAAGTCATAATAATAATAAAAACAAAAAAAACACTAAGCACTTAAGATAAGGTTTACTTTTACAAGTAATTATGATTAGGTAAAAAAAGTCAATAGGGAGGCGAAACCCATCCTGCTCACGGGGTGTCTACAGCACCCAGAGCCTGTTTAAAACAAAATACCAGACAACCTATTACATAAACTTCAAAATCGGCAATGTAATATGACTGAGAATACTTTGACAGGAAGGTACTGAAAGTAAGCGCCATTTATTCGAATCGAAGTGAGACCGGTAGCTATATTTAGAAAGCTGGGGTGTTTTGTACACCCCGCGTGCCTGCTTAAGGGTTAAATCTAAAAACGACTCAAGTATTTTTAGGGACTTAAGTCCCTAAAAATGACTTAAGTCTTTTTCTAGATTTAAGTCGTTATATATTTGATTTAAGTCATTTTTAATAAGACTTAAGGCTTAAAAAAAAGACTTAAGTCTTTTTGAAAGGCTTAAGACTTAAATCTTTTCTGTTTTATAGAAAAAATGACTTAAGACTTAAGTCATTTTTATTTCAAAAAAGACTTACGACTTATGACTTAAATCTTTTCTGTTTTATAGAAAAAATGACTTAAGACTTAAGTCATTTTTATTTCAAAAAAGACTTACGACTTATGACTTAAGTCTTTTTAGAAGTGACTTGTGACAGCTCTGCACTGAAGCCCATGGTATAATTATTTTTCGAATGTTTACCTATAAATTAAGTAAATATACAGGTTTCTTCGTTTTAATAATGTTATACTAAAGATTAATATAATTAATTTGTCATTCATTTCGTTTAGTCTATTTAAGGACGCACAGGTATTTCTAAGATCTGGGCGGCCAAAATGCCCGTTATCAAAGTTTGAATGACATCGTTAAAACCAACAACCTGCGTTGGAAGACACTTCTGAGCAGGGCCAGCCCGACGTTTTTTGCCGCCCCGGGCGAAGATATTTTTGCCGCCCCCATTTTATTCAGCAGGAATAGGAAAAAAAGTAGTTAAACGTAATTATTTTTTACAAATTTATTAATTTTTTATAAGAGTTTTTTATGCTTTAGAATTACTAGGTAATTACCTAGTAATTGCCTTAAGGCAATATACTGTTAAATCAGTGGCGGCTGGTGGATTTTACGTATACCGATATTTTGGTTATTAGACATGGGACCCACACCAAATTTATAAGAGTTTATAATG